GTGTGTGTGTGTGTGTGTGTATGTGTGGGTGTGTGTGTGACTGTCTGCCTGTCTGTGTGTATATTGAGATGTTCTTTAAATGGGAGGATCCTGTTCCTTGTTCCCTCTTTGAGTCAGTCTTTCCCGCTGAACAAAAACGTTTCTCTCACAGACTCACAGACACTTGACTCCTGAGCCTTCTGTACCAGAGAAGCATGGATTTCATGGAACTCTTTTTCATTTCTCTTGGTACTGGAGTTGTGGTGTACTATGGAGTGAGGCTACTTCTTTTCAGTAGGATGCTTTTTCCAAAACTGTGGTTTCCACTGCCAAAAACTTTCTTCACCTCAATGGGAGAGTGGGCAGGTGAGCAGCATGTTTATGCATGTCCACATGTATGCGTTTGTGCTCTGCGTGTCTGTGCCATGTGTAATGAATACCATACAATCTTCAGTAGGTCATGCTATGATAAATAAATCCTGGAACTTCAGTAGGTTACGTAGTATCAAGCCAACATAGGTATCACGTTTTGTGATACAACACTACATTTATGTGTATACTGTATGTAATTAGAACTTTTAAATGACTACATTATTTGAATTAATTAATAAGCTAAAGTGTACATGGCAGAATCTGCAAGTGCCATGAACACTAAGCAGTGAAAGTGATTTAGTTGATCAACTTGTGTGTAAAAGTGCATTTAGTAGGTCACAATAGAGTGAGTCCCCTGCCCAAACTTGTTTTAACATTTCATCGTTACACAAGATTGCGCTTGTGCGCTGATATACCCAAAGGAGGCAAGTCCCGACGCTTAAAATACTTCTTTTTTTTATATACTTGCAGGGCAGCTGATATATGTACAGAAAACACAATTCAAATTCAATATCAAAATGTATGGAACATCAAGCATAAACTGCATGTTTTTCACATAACAAATGATCCGCGTCATCATAGTTGACATTGGAAAAAAGCTGCATAACGACAAGTCATACCTGTGTGACTAGTTTAACAGGAAGAACTTGGTATAGTACAGGGAGTCAGAAATATTCCTCTACCTTACCACACTATAGCCTACTCTTCCGAAAAATGTAAAGAAAATATAACAACTACATTTATTTTATACACAATTACATGTAGTGATAAGCTTACTGACAAAATGCACCATATTCCATTCATTTTCAAACTTGTAATAATTTAGATTGGCATGTAGTTGTGTAAAAAGGGCTGTTAAAGTGCAAATTATGATACGCAAATTATATATGCAAACTGTTTCTAATTAAGAATAGGAAAAACATTTTCAGATTTCAAGAACAGACAAGTAAAGCCAAACCTTCGGGTTGAAAATGGCAAATTACTGTTGAAGGTTTGATTTAAACCAATCATGTTTTTCAGTGTTTTCCCAAAACATTTTACCCTGAAGTGTTTTTGTAGTGAGTGGATATACAGGATTAAGAATAATAAGCAGGAAGCTTTTACATTTGAAGTGGGTACAACAAATCTAACATAAACACTCCAAATGAAACTACAGAATAGAGTCAACTTAAAGGCGGCTGAGGAAATGAGCAAATACTTTCTCTCTTGTCAATCTCCTTGTGACATTCCTCTGCAGGTCCAGAAGCAGTTTCATTCACTCAAGAGGTTTGCTTTGGCATCTTCTGAAGGGGTTATTCTCTCACAGTGCTCAAAGAAGCCTAATAAAAACACTGGGCTGATCTTGCTTTTCTTCCCAATGCCCACTTTCCTTCCCACTTTCATTCCATTCCGGCACAGAGGAATAACATCTGAACAGCACATTCTAGGCTGCATAAATGACACCCCTCTCCAATTATTTCTCCCAATAATTGGAAAGCCCCATTTGTATCCCTCTTCAGACCTTTTAAACATTTTTAGTTTCAAGAAGCCTAAACGGTGTTGTGCATGTGCATGGATCTATTGATAACAAAGAATAAGTTACTCAAATGGCAATGCCCCATTTTTTAGAAGCTCACAAATAATTAGGACAATTAACTATTTCACTATCAGGTGAGGCATTTTCTTTTTTTCTTTCATAATAATTAGGCAGATAAGAGATGTGGGCTTTTCAAATATAAGTGCTGTACTTGTATTTGGTAGCTGTCCACCAATAAGATGTCAGTGCAAGTGAAGGAGGGAATCACTAGGCTGAACAACCAAAACAAGCTTGCCAGAGAGACACTAAAAATGCAGGAGTAACCTAACCATCAGTTGTGAAGGCACTGGGCAGCTCAGCAGCACCCAAACACAACATCTAACCAAGGTAAGAACACTTTTAAGGTGGTACGTGAATCATCATCAAGAGGTACAATCAAGAGATGCTTTCATGAATGTAATTACAGAGGGTTTACACCGAGATGCAAATCACTGGTCATACACAGAAACAGTAAGGCCAAAAAACATCTAGCAGAGCCCGCAAACCAGATAGCTGAAACTCAACTTAACTTGTACCAGAACGATAGCAAGGGAAACTGCTCGTGATTTGAAGCATACCGCCTTATCTGACTGTTAGAGAACAAATGTCAACCCCTGACACTGACAAAGATGGTAAATGGTAAATGGCCTGCATTTGTATAGCGCTTTACTCAGTCCCTAAGGACCCCAAAGCGCTTTACACTACATTCAGTCATTCACCCATTCACACACACATTCACACACTGGTGATGGCAAGCTACATTGTAGCCACAGCTGCCCTGGGGCGCACTGACAGAGGCGAGGCTGCCTGACACTGGCGCCACCGGGCCCTCTGACCAGGTAGGGGCATTATTACGACATGTGTGTGTATGGTTCTAATTGTGAGTGAATCACTATTGTTTACTGATAATGTGACTGATAAATGTAGAAGGATGAATTATTTAGTGTGCAGGGCTATACGCTCTGCTTAGATTCAGCCATGTGCTGCATAACCTATCAGGCAGTGCAAATAGATAATGACCCAAAGCATGTTGCAAAAGCAATCCAAGAGTTTCTCAAGCCAAAGTAATGGGATACTCTTCAATAGACAAATAATTCATTTGATATTAGTCAAATAGAGCATGTTTTTTAGTTACTGAAAATAAAATCTGAAGGTAGAGAGAAAAGCAAACTGAATGTAGTTGCAGTTAAGGCCTGAGCAAAGCATTAACATCTGGTGATGTCCACAAGATTTCAATATAACTTAGAATGATCTTAGTTTGTCCAGCTTTTTGAGTTTCTAAACACAGGGAACTATGCACAATGACGACTGTGATTCCTAAAAGTTAAACCACTTGAATTAAAGTTGAAATTCTGCCCTTAAATCACATTTATGTTATTTGATTTAATATCCGCTGCGCTGGTGGACAGAGGCAACATTGCAAACACTGTGTCTAAACATTGTGTCATCCTTCAGTATTTATTTACTCAAATGGTAAATGGTAAATGGCCTGTATTTGTATAGCGCTTTACACATCCAGTCACCCACCCATTCACACACACATTCACACACTGGTGATGGCAAGCTACTCAACTCTGACAATAGAGTACAATGAACTCGCTGTGACATATTAAAGTGAAGTAACTGTGGCGAGCTTTGTGAGACCACACAGTTTTTGTATAAAGTGGACAAATATGGCACTTAGAAACACTGTTAACAATGGGGACAAATAGACTTTCTATTGCCTTGTTGCCCTTGTTGAGTGCATAGGCTCAACATTAATTTAATATTGGAAAATGTCTTAAGTTGGCTTCCAGTTTTACTATCCTGCTGGCTTTTAAATGATAGTCTGTCTTGCTGCATCACTCTCACACAACAGCACATTTGTCTTTGAAGAGAAGCCTCCACAGGCTGCTGCAGTTCACAGAGCTCATTTGCATAAAGGAAAATGTCACAGTCATGTCTGGTTTCAAATTATTTTGGGTATGTTGATTTTATTCAGTTTGTCACAGAGGAATCCAATTTTTTTTTATAACCAAATGTTATATAACTACATAATGCTGTGTTTCTTCACTCTCAGAAAAATAATGGTTCTTAAATGGTTCTTTTTAAAGACTCTATGGTTCTTCAAAGAACATTACCAGCTAAGGACCCTTTTATTTTATGAAAATGTTGTTTCATATTTTTCATTAAATATCACAAATAGATTTTAAATATATTGTAGTGGGCTAGGGGAAAGGGCCGCTGGCTAGAGGACAACTTAGAACACGTATATCTGATGTTAACGTGTTCTAAGTTGTATTGTTGTAATGGCAGTTACAGTTATCAGGTGTTGATTTGCCATTTTTGTGTAAAATTACAGCTGCTGTGTTTTCTGTGTTTGGTGTAGCCAGCGGAGCACCGTGAGTTAGACTGCTGTGTCCGTTTACCACCTCTCACTGCTGTGGTGTATGACGGAGCGATCTTAATTAAAGGCTGTGCTCGCTGTAGTTTAGCATTACAGCTAATGCAGGAATAGCAAGTTGAATACAGAAGTCTTCGTCTCCTACATGTCTGAGCTTGCCACAATATTGTTTTGTTTAAGTTATTTGAAGGAAATGACATAGAAGAGTGATTTTCCTGTGACTGGCTCAGGTTTGAGTAACAGTGGAAATCATGAATTACAGATGCTGCAATCTGCAAAAAGGTGGACTATAATTAAATTGTGAAGGGACAAGAAGTTGTTCTTGGGTTAGACATCTTTAATAATCTATTGAAGTAATACACTAAAG